TGAGGGAAGGAAGAAATGGTCTTTGAAGTGCGTTTGATCTCTTACAACAACGAAGGAGTTGGTCGTATCAAAATGTTGACCAAGCCGCTGTTTCCCCTTCAGTCTACAGGGTATCTCAAAAGTAAGCACACATTTCTTGATCGCTGATACCTCTCTTCACACAAAGCCTTTTGTTCACCTATAGATGCCATTTTGTAGGGCCACTCTCGAGTTATATTTAAGGTATAGAGCGAATCACTAATTTCTTTTAACTCTAGGAAATTATTCGTAGTAAATTTAGGTCAATAGCGAATTTAGCGTGCGAAAATTCTGCCATTTCAGCCTTTTTGGAGAATTTATTAAGAATGGCGGTTTAAGAGCGGTGCTGAATGCTGAAAATTGCTACCGTATTCCTACAGTACTGCGAGCAATCGGTAATTTTTACCGTAAATCTAAGTTGGAGCCAGCTCTTTGGAATGGTAACCATTTGTGGGAAGGGAGATATCAACGATCAAATAATGGGTCATACTATTGGAACATTTTTTATTGCAATTTTTTGTAAAACATTACTTTTACATTTCGTTGTCCATCTTCAGGTTGTAAAGAGCCTCTCTCAATATGTCATACGAAGCGGAAAAGAAAACTTGGCCAGAGTTAGTTACAAAATAATTTGCTTTTCTTTCCACTGATTATTCAAAAGCAAAGACTATAATCAGCGTCCATGCAGCTGCAGAGATTTCCATTTTCATTCTTTCTCAAGTATCCCGAGTTATTTTAGCTATTTCAACTCTTTTACAAGAAAGCAGTTATTCATCAGGTAAAGCAGAAGTTCTCCTTTGCGAAGAGTATCAAAACCTTTGCTTGTAAATTTCTAGAAAATGTTATTCAAGCGGAAATCCATGAATTACTGTTCATGCAATTCGTAGAACTTTACTAGAAAAGCAGAAACTTATTCATGGATTTTACAAATTTTGAACAGATCGAAATCCTCTCAAAACTTCAAAATTTTCGGCAGTCTACCTTATCTTAATGAGAAAACGGCAGCTTTGACATCTATTTCGAATACATTTATTGAACGCATAGCTCCTTTTCCAAACAGCTGACCAGCTTTGTCCATTTTGTGAAATGGAAGTGCTTAATAAAAAAACAAACTTTTTGAGTATCGGATTAACGTTGGTTTACATATTATTTTCACGATCATGTAATAGTTATAATCTCAATTCGATAACTGTTCTTGAGTTCGATTGGAACGGCACGCCTACAAGTACTGCGTATAAAAGCAGAAAAAGTTTCATCAGCGTCAGAGCCTTCAAAAATGGTCCTAACAATTGCTTTATTATTCTTGGTCATCAGCTGCGACAGGTTTGATTTCTTATTGTCTTTGGACACCTTATGTAGTACATTACGGTTAAAATGTGAGTGACCATAGTTCTATTGGGCAAGGGGAAGTGGGAAGGAAGGGGGACATTCCGGTAATCACATTGACGGAGAAATCGAACCGCGTATGGTGTTCCTTGATACCATGTGAATGAAATTTAGTGACAGCTTTGCTTATAAAATGTATCCAAAGGCCTTGGAAGAACCTTTTGTCATTGTGTACGAAAAGGACGCCAAGGCCATTTAACATGGCCATCTCTGAAGTGAACGCAATAAGCGCAGGTTTATCAAACACCCAATTCGTAAGTTTGTAGCAGTGGCTTCTCCTTGGGTGATGAATGAGAGCGGAGATAAAATAGTATCTGACAGACAATGGCCGTGTGTGAGATTGGAGAAGGTGGGATTGTTGGTGCTAGCATTCCACACGGACAGTTATTGAGTTTTTTATGATTACGCAACGCACCCAGGAAAAACAAATTTTTGACAAAATTTTCTACCTTCGACTCCCCTCTACTATAACACTTACTGTGTGCTGAAGTGTAATAGTTCTACTCTAAAAATGACAGGAAAATATAGTGAACATATCGGCTGCCATTGGTGTCGTTCATAAGTAGAATTCTTTCACTTTCTTAGGTAGCATTCGTTTCTCGGCACAACTTTCCGAATAATTCGCGGAGTAAAATATTAGGTCGTGTAATAAGTTCCGTCCCATTTTTTGTTTTAGTTTTTTCTTGACAACGTTGACTATATTCGAGATAAAGTGTATATGCTTTTGAAAGCTTTAACTCTGCTCTGCAGGCTCGCATGCGTCATTACCTAAAATAGCGGGAATTAAAAAAGATTTTCATCATTGAAGCAAAAAATCCAGAGAGCCGAAAAATCAATTTTCGACATCTTTTTTCCTCCAAATTTTTCTCGATTTTTATTGGTAAAACTTATAAAACAAGCTTGACAACAACCAAAACAATCTAATAGACTTTTACACTTATTCTAGCACTGTTTGCCCATGTTCCCTTCCTTTCATCGGCTTTCTAATGGCATTTTTTTGAAAGTCGGCAAGGCAAGATTATGTCACGGCAATGTTCACCATCTCGCGTACCCAAGCTGTGTGGCTCCCAAAATTCAAATTTTGAGTATTTAACCTACGAATTCGATAATTTTTAAGCCACAAAACCGTCCCTTCTGTCTTTTCTGGATGATCCGCCTGCCGTCTTCCCTCAAGATGCCTTCAGATGATGCCCAACACCAACGTTGAAAAGGCGTTAGAAAGAAGACTTTTCTAAAGCCCACAGAAATGATTTTTGAAAAGTCAGCACTCCTAAAGCGCAATAGAAGCTAAAGCTTACGTGTAGCAAGTTTTTCCAGCTTATTCGTGAGCATTCTGACTAATTAGGAAGGCGGCGTAACGTAGTTGTCGAAAATGCACTTTTTCCCTGTTTGATTTTCCAAATTTGACACTGTAAAACTTTTTCAAGTCATCTGATGTAGAGAACCGAAATGAAAGTTTTAGTAGAGAAGGCTTAGAGCTCTCAAATGCATATGAACAATTTACAGAACATCGCTCAAATTATTAAGAAAAAATCGAAAGAAAAAATGGGACAGAACTTATTACACAACCTAATAAATAGACTATGAGAAGAGTCATGCATTTATCCTATGTCTGCGACTTATGTAAGAGAATACCTATCTTTCAGCCAAAGTCTTTGCCATGAAGCCCACAGAATTTTGACTTTCTTCCAAGTGAGGCACTGATATTTAACTTAGAACTTATTCTCACAGTAATTGTATACAACAAATAAGCTATGCCCAAAGTGAGGAAGAAATTAACATGACTGCAAGCTGAGTCGAGATAGTGTGTTCAAAACGACTTTCAGAAGATCAAATGCTTGGTGGCTCAAATTTCTCGAAAAAAAAGCTCTCTTTTCAATGACTTGCTTTGAAGAGACTAAAAAATTAACGACAGCGCATCAATTTTCCTCTTCATGGCTCTGATTTCCAATAACATTAGGTCCCGAAAGTAGTTTCGATTCTTAGAACAAGCGCCAAATCAGAATACATACACAAGATCTTGTGGTAGTACTCAATGCAGTTTTGCAAGCCCTTTCGAATGTTATTCTTATATTGTAGTTCAACAAACGATTTCAGAATTTCACACGACCTATGGTTTTTACAGAAGTTCCGCTATTCTTCTTTCTTTGTACTAATTCTCCGAAGAAGTCCGCAATGGATAAGTAGAGCAGACCTGTAGGATACAGAACAATTTTGTTCCTCATAACTCGCCAAAATTTTTTGACATAATCATGAACAACACCATTAAATTTTACAGACCTACATCAGACGTATATTGGTCAAACACCTATATATTCTCAATTTTCAATACTTCCAAAAGTACAGTCTAGTAGATTTTCCGCTTAATATAGTGCGCTTGCACAAAAGGTGAAATGCGGTAAAATTTGCGCGTGAAGAAATGGCTTCGACTGTGACGCCGGCCAATTGCGCGCGCAAAATGCTGGCAGAACTGGCTGGCTATTTGTTCACGCGCAAAATTCACCGCATTTTCACCGCACTTATCGTCTGTGCAAGCACACTACATTATGCAGGAAATCTACTCGACTGTACATTATGATTTAGCACTAATTTTACAAAACAATTGAGCGATCGTGGATTCGAGATATCAAATGTTGAACTTTCCGTGCACAGCTTTTGGCGCCTTCGAAAACATATTTTGTTGGTTTTATTCCCCCACTCTCCGAATTTACGAATCAGAGAAAACTCCCTTTGAGAGAGCAGAAAATTTTGCATCGAATAACACCTGAGTTGTTCGCCGGTGGATTTCTGTGAGATTCAAAGTTGTACTTATGTAATTAAATATTATCAAGATAATAAATTTGATATTTTTTGGAAATAAGCTATGGAAAGAAATTGTACCGTACCTTGAAGGGTTTGTTTATTTATGCGAGACTAATTCCGAGAATCAGTGAAAAAATTTATGTAAATGCCTAACTTGACCTCTATTGAAATACTAGTGTGTTTCGCGTGTACTGCCGAATAGGTGTCAAGGGCCGAAGAGATTTCATTCAACGAGGCTGGTAGCGAACGGAACTACGCGGGCTTCTCACGGTTTCAATGTTGTGCACGTTTTTTCTCTTTTTAGATTTGGAGTTGGAGATCGTGTTTACGCAGTAGTTCGTTCAGCTGCCTAATGCTTGAATATGATAGTAGCTGAAAAATTTTTTCTCTTCGGACATCTTTTGGGAGCGGGTCCTACTGTAAAGGGATGGAAGGCGCATTCAGCTTTATTCCAAACAGTTTTTTTAATCGCCGAACCGATCAACCATACATGGGTATATGATAAAACCTAATTGCTTGTTTACATGTACGCTTGAGGCTGAAATGGTGGCTCAGTATGCTGATTCCAAATATCGTAATTATTTGTAGCGACATCGGCGTGCTGGAGCGCCCGGCAGGAGTGTATCGGCTGAGAGTCACGGTTGTAATTTTAAAAAAAGAGCAAAGAATTCTGATCAAAACATTAACAATCCTTCTTGACAAGTACACAGCTGATTTCAGCTGTTTGTTTTTGATTCTTGTCGAGGGCTGTGGTTTTGTCCACGTTCTTTAAATTTTTCCCGGAGAACTATCTTATGCAAGATTTCGGAGCCCTCCTGGCTACCCTGAGTGCAGAAAAGCGCACATATACACGCACATACAAGCGCACAAAAAGAGTCGCAGGGCAGGGGATCACCGGTATTCCATCTCCACTGAAAGTGGTGCGCTATATCATGTTGTCTTACAGCGCAGCCACGCAAAAGTAGGCGCCATAGTCAATGGTTGAGCCATCGATTTTATTGATAGAACTTGTATTCCTGCGCGACACGAGTAATTCATGATGGGTACTTAAAGTACTGTGATGAGTCATCAAGAAGAGTACGTACCAGACGTTGGCGTGAAACTTGCAGGATCGCCGCACTGACCTCATCCTCATCATCCTCATCATCCTCATCATCCTCATCATCCTCATCATCCTCATCATCCTCATCGTCCTCATCATCCTCATCATCCTCATCAACAACAACAACAACATCGACGACAACATCAACAACCTCAACAACAACCACAACTCCGACAACATCAACAACAACCACAACACCGACAACATCAACAACAACCACAACACCGACAACAACCACAACATCAACAACAACCACAACACCGACAACAACCACAACATCAACAACAACCACAACACCGACAACAACCACAACATCAACAACAACCAAAAAACCGGCAACAACTAAACCTGCACCCAGCTACCCTGGAATATTACCGACAGGTATGCCTAATATTTTTGAAAATTCCTCATAAACAACTTTTTGCAAAGTGCATTTGCAGGTGAGAATACAAAGTGCCCTAAAAATGTGGGAATGAAGGACAATCTAAGGACCAAATTTTTGGACATGCACAACTACAGAAGGTAGAAAATATGAGAGTTTTCGAAGTTTTACAATAACTTCATGATTACGTGTTTATTTAGAGGCCTCCTTGCACAAGGTCAAGTTCAAAAAAATACAGGCAATCTCTTACCAACAGGTGCCAACATTCTGAAAATGGTACAATCTCCTTTAGCCTCTGGAATCGTTGTGAAATTGTTCCATTTACCAGGAGTACGACTGTACCCTGGAAAAGAAGGCTATCGAAGAAGTACGAAATTGTCCCACTTCGAAAAAAGGATATGGCAAAAACTTTATAACAGTTTCCATAAATGGTCTCACTTGGTTGGAGGGGGTAAATCAGGTAACATAGAATTATTAAGTTTACACATTAACTTCACCGAAAATGACAGGTTGTCACGTCTTGGTGGAAGGTTGTTCGTCAGTATCCGGGCCCAGGAATGGAAGTTACTTTCCGCCAGAATCATGTTAACCAACCGATAGAATCATTCACTCAGGTACGAACTTCAGTACTTTAGGAGGTGCTTGCAACAAATCAAATGCAAAAAAAAATTCAAAACTCAATGTAGTCGTCGATTTCAAAGACTGTGGCGGATGGAAACATTGCAAAATTTTAATAAAGTAAACACTTGGCAGCATTTGAGAGTTGAAGAGTACGAAATGCTTATCTACGAGGAATGGATACCTGATGACCGCTGTCTTTCGATGTGTGTCATACTTCATGACATTCGTCTTGAAACGCTGATCCCAAAACTGTCTTTGTTATTTGCGGAAGGATTCTTCAGAAAACCCGCATGCACTGCTTTTGATCGTTTGTACAAGTGTTTTACAAAAAATCGGGATCAGTGCCGCATGCTCTATAGGTACGCACTGTTGATTATTGCACTGTGGCTTTGATCTCTTTCGATGCGAATACTTTTGCGTTCGCTAACAAGCTCCATTTTTCAGAAAAACTTTCCGCTGATAGTGAACATACTTTCGATATCAGCGTTTCAAGGCCAGCATTGTGATGTATAACATATTTCAAATTGCCTACCTGCCTACCTTGCCTACCTATTTGAGATTGCCTACCTAGTAGCCTTCCTGTATTACAAGTGGAAGTTCAGCAAGATTTTAACGTGTTTAAATGCCTGCAAAGCTCAGTGCTCTTCTTGTAGTCATATATGCCATTGCGAGTTTACTGAAGAGCTTTGAAGACATTTTGAGCTTCGTCGAATGCGTTATAATCACTGAAAACAAGCATTTTGCATCTGACTTTCTCCGAAAAATTTCTTCGTTCTCCTCTTGTTGAGTTTCAAGTCACAAGACATATCTATCAAGTCACAGGATGCAAATATAATGGTATATAATGGTCCTAATATAATATAATGGTCCTCTTTCGCTTAATTACACCTATTTCACATGTGCACAAGCTGTACGACAAGCAAACAGGGGTCAGAGATGCTTGAGGACAGTAGGCAGGTCACGACATTTATAAGCGAATCCATAGCTTTTACGATTGTAGGTGTGAAACCTGTTTGATTATGCTGTAAAAGCTTCCTTTTCAGATGGGTTGGGCAACGAGCAAAAAACTTGGATGTGCCATTGCAAAATGCTCGAATCATTACACTGCCATATGCAATTATGACCCAAGGTGAGCAAATGTACAACATATTTCTCAGAAAAGGGTACGCTTTCAGAGGAAACTATGTGGAGCAGGTAATCTATCAGAAAGGCTCCCCGTGCAAGGCATGCCCCAGTGGATGGAAATGCGAAAGCAGTTCTAAACTTTGCATACCAAAATAGTTCTAATCTAATGATTAATAAAATCTGCATACGAATGCGTCTTCCATAATATGGTTTAATTCGCCACAATGTCGAATAATGGCAAAGATAATGACACAGTTTTGCAATTTTTGCTGGGGCACACCTGCTCCTTTCTGATGTTGAGGAATCGAGTATGTGTAATCCCACTCCGATGTCTCTAACTTTGTCAAATTTGAATACAGCTGCGTTAAAAGCAGCAAACCTTCTCCCAACGTAGCGTTCACGCGTACTTAGATCACAAACGGACAGGAAATCATGGCTTGGAAAACCAAAGAAGTTTCTTCCTGATATTTCATTTTTGACAAGTCATTACTTCTTCGAAAATCGGTATAATTGGGGGTATTCTATCTTGTAGCCGCAAGCAAGTAGTACAATGCAAATATTATAGAAGGGCTTGAACGTGTCAGCTTCTTCTTCCAGCCTTTTTTCAACAGGGCTCAAAGTCCAAAATTACGAAATTTTCCCATTTGATTTTCCGAATGGTCGCAAAAACTGTCTGTCGAACGCGTCAATATCTTAGCCTAGCCAGTTTTGAGATATGTCAAGAGTAGACAATGTCACGGTATTCCATTTAGGAACCTTTTCGAGCGTAATAAATTTAGTTCAATAGTAAATTAGAGTACGAAAATTCTGCCATCTACTCAGCCTTTTTGAATAAGTATGGTAGTTTGATAATGGTCCTGCATGCGAATCTTACTACCGTGTTCTTACAGTACTACGAGCAGTCGATGATTTTTGCCGTAAATCTAAGTTGTCCAGCTCTTTAGTATGGTAAGCATTTGTGGGAAGAGAGATATCAACGATCAAGTAATGGGTCATATTTTTGAATCACCCTGCATTTGCAACTTTAAGTAAAACGTTAAGACTATAGTTCGTTGTCCATCTTCAGGTTGTAAAGAGCCTCTCTCAATATGTCATCATACGAAGCGGAAAAGTAAGCATAGTATATAGTTAGTTACAAAAAAATTCGCTTTTTGTGATTATTCAAAAGCAAAGTCTATAATCAGCGTCCATGCAGCTGCAGAAATTTCCATTTTCATCCTTCTTCAAGTATTCTAAAGTATTTTAAGTTTTACAACTCTTTTTTCACAAGAAAGCAAATATTCCTCAGGTTAAGCAGAAGTTCCTTTGCGAAGCGGTTTTAACAGTATTCAAACTTTTGCTTAATTTCTAAAAGATGTTATTCTGCGGAACTTTTATCCAAGAATTAATGTTCTTTGCAATTCGTAGAACGTTACTAGAAAAGCAGAAGCTTGTCAATGGATTTTACAATTTTTTTTGAAGTAATTGAAATCCTCCCAAATTTTCAAGATTTAAAAAAGTTCCAAAATTTTCTGCAGTCTGTCTTGTCTCAGTAAGAAAACCGCAGTTTTAAAATTTGTTTTGAATACATTTATTGGGTGCATAGCTCCTTTTCCAATTAGCTGACTAGTTTTGTCTTTTCTAAAAATGGAAGCTTAACGAAAAATAGCATCGTTTCACATATTATTTACACGACTATATATTAATTAAGGGATCGGCATCGCTTCACATTTTATTTTCACGCATGTATATCAGCTATAATCTCAGTTTGATAGCCATGATCATGAGTTGGACCGGAATCACACGCCTACAGGTACTGCATATAAAAGCAGAAAAGTTTCATCGATGCTAAACCTTCAAAAATGGTCCTAACGATTGCTTTACTATTCTTGGTATGATTAGTTCTAATTCTCATGTCCCCATCTTTCTAACATCGCATTGTTTTAGATAGCGTTGGTACGGTTTTCAACTGCGACAGGTTTGATGTCTTCGGTTTTATTAAAGTATGCAACAAACCTTGCTATTTTTTTAGCGCAATGTGACGGTCAAGGTGGCGTAATAGAAGCCAGTGATACCGCTGCTGTAATCACATCGCTGACCAATACCCGAACTGAGCTGACGAAGGGTACATTGATGGATAAAGCGGGAAAAAATCTTCCAGCGGCAGATGCAAGTAAAATGCAAACCATCGTGAGTATAGCAATCACTATCACTTTCTAAAAGTGCTCATCTTATTCATTCAGAAGTGTAAAAAATGCTTCCAGGTCAAATGCGTTTTTCCGAAAAACAATTTTGATTAAGTTGTAAACTCTATATCTCCGCAGTAGCGCCCATCTCATACCTATGCCTTTTTATCTGCTAAATGACTATCTAGAAGGAGTTTTGAACGTTTGCACATGAAAATTCATTCAAATCCCTATGGATAAAGTCCCTAAAAGGCAGCGGCAGGGTGCGTAATTACGGTGAGTATGAGTGTTCCTACGAGGAAAAATTGCATACGCTAAAAACCTAAACAAGTGTTATTGTAACGTTTTAGTGGAACATGCATTACAAAATACTTAGAAATCCGTACGTTTAATCGCTTGCTTAATCGCTTATAACTCCTCTCAGATAGTCGCATAATCGCCTAGCAGACGATAACCACATATTTGAGATCAGTGTTTTCGAAAGAGATAAAGCTTATTTGAAATAAAGGTTAAGGTTCTGATTATTTCCCCGTTGACAGACCAGAAAGTCACGCGGCCTTAGCTTGGAGACGGTGGCTTTTCTCTATCTCTCAGTTAGGATTCTGAAGAGAGATAAATGTAAAAGGCCTAATTATCTCTTCGTTCAACTGGTAGATGAGCGGTTTTAGTAAAGGGGCATTTTGAATCATTAGGTTGTTCCGAAAGTTCTGTCGTTTCATTTTTGAAAAATCTGCAACTTTTTGCCATCTCGACGGATTTGCTTCTTTTTCATTCCTTTGGAAAAAAGAAGTCTTTTTCTTTATAACAATTCTTGATGAGCTTCTACTACGCATTCATTGCAGAAATAAAAATGAAGAAAACAAGACGATTTGAATTTTGACCATTTTAAGATGGATCACCAAAAATCTGGAACGCTGCAGAAAAATCTGAAATTACTAGCTCATAAGTTTTATGACTTACTGTTTGCATCTGAGATGAAAGTGTACTGTTTGGATGTTTCAGTGAATAGTTATAATTTTCAAAGCGACACATTAACGATTGTTTCTAATGTAAATTTAAAAATTATAACTTTTCACAGAGACGTCCAAACATTACCCCTTTTCACTCAGGTGCATAAAATAGGTTATAAAACTTATATATTGACAATTCCAGATTCTTCTGCTGCAAATGAGACTTTTGGCGACTTAGCTCAAAATAGTCAAAGCCCAAATCCTCTTCTTTTTCGATTTTTATCTTTCCAGTGAATGTACATTTGAAGCTCATCGAAATACTTCTTCAAAAAAAAGACTTCTTCTTTTTAACGAAATTAGAAAGTAGCAAATCCTTTGAGAAAGCAAAAAGTTGCAAATTCACAAAAATGAAACGACCAAACTTTTGGAACAAACTAATAGATATGCGAAGGCAAATAGGTGTCAGCTCAGCAAAACTGATTGGAGTCAGAATTGAGTTGACTGAAAGATGAAAAGCTGCTAAGCAGAAAGAGTCGAAAAACATTTTTGGATCCCTGAAAAATTTCAAAAAAAAACCGCGATTTCGACTGACATAAAGGTGATACAATTACTTGTGATAAGAGGACGATAAATTCGAAGATTTTTCTCTACTTATCTTGCTATAGTTAGATTTCAACTAACTTTATTTAATTGATGTTGTTGAGTGCTTATATTATAGTGAAATTCAATCTAGTTTAGTTTAGACACAACTTTTTTATGTTTGTTTTTTACTATATAAGCGCTTTTCTCAAGAATAGTTAAAGATGAGGGAGCAGATAATACACTAAGACTCGTAACAACACATAATAAGATTGAATGGACACTTTATTCACAGATGAAAAACGCAGCAACAAGCATGAAATTAGTCAAGGCATTTACACAACAGTCCTTTCTTTTTCGGGAATTATCATCATATTTTCGTATGAACCACATTGATCAGCAGAATCTCGTAGAGTTTTGATTCAGACATGGGACTGTGGTTTGGAGACGACTGCTATAGCTGCATTGCCGGATGTATCTCCATGCACACTCACGGCCGTAGCTGGAAAAGCAGTTTTGTACGCGTAAGTAGCTTGAATGGCACAAATTGATGAATGCATGGCTATATAATATTATTGCAGCTCTCATTAGTAAGACCTCTAATCTGAGAATTTAAGCGAGATAGGAAGCCGGCCGCCGGCAGTACCACTTAAAAGCACTGCTTATATATGCCCGACTGAGAGCTTTCTTATGGTCGTTTTGCTAAGGTGTTAGGGAACATTGATATTTTTACAGAAACGTAATGCAGCAGATCATTATCTCGAATTTTTCCTGGAAGTTCAGATATGATCGCAAATGACCAACTCTATCACAATTAAATAATGGTTTTTGCTTGATAATCATTCTCTCGAGTGAATTTATTACACAAGATGTGTCTCACAAGGGAAGGATACTTGGTCGAAGTGGCTTTTTTATATGTATTGTATACTATCTTACAGAGCATGAAACGCTGATTCCGAAACTGCTTTCGTTATCTGCAGAGCGGTTCTGGGAGTGGAGTTATGAGAATTTTTTGATGCGAAAATTTGAGAACGCCGCTACAAGAAAATCCTTCAAAACTTTAGGCCGTGAGCGCAGATGGGGTCACGATCCCCGCCAGGACGTTTTAAGCAATAAATACCTTGAACCTAACAAACTCGTGCAAATCATTACTCCTTTCAAGCGCCGAAAAGACCTCAACAGCTGTTTTTACCTTAGCCAAATCATTAAAATTTTACCTAAGAGACCTTACCTTTCCTCGCAGAAGCGCTTTGCAAATAAGGAAGGCAGATTTGGAATCACCGTTCCCCGCTCTACAAGACAGTATACATTTCACGTGGAAATGCCACTTCGACCAAGTATCCTTCCCTTGTCAGATACAGTGAATTCCAAGGGAAAGCTCTTATACATACATGTATATTCGGTTGGCCCGAAAGTTTTGTCGGCTTTTCCAAACCACTATGAAACCACGCACAATGAAAGGCTCCCTGAGTTTCAACATGCATTCCATGCAGCTCTTCCTTCTCTTTCTCATAATTACATTTTCGAACCACAACCCTCTATGATTTTTTTTGATAATTGCGAGAATTCTTCACCCGTCAATTTAATCTGCTCAGAGTTAGGCTAATTTTCAAAAATTTTTGAGCATGGGTCTAGAGCAATTCTCGAACTACAAGTTATTATTTTTGAATAGTTCTAATCTGCTGCTTTTAGCTTAAAAATTATTTTTTTGAACGCCTCGCTTACAGCAAAGTCATGAAACACGTAACTGCGGCAAAAACAAGAAACCTTTCAAAGTTTCTGTGAAATGAAACTTGATTATTATTAGACATTATTTGTGCAACATAACTAAGTTTGATTTGCCTTCAAAAATCAGCGTTTTGGAATTTTCGGTACTCTTACGTGGTGACTTCAATCAAAAATCCGCGGCTTTTCTTGAATGAATATTTATTACGGGCTTCATGTGAATGGCCTATGCAATCTAAAATTGATACAATGTAGCCAAAGGTTTGCTCTACATAACAATTACCAGCGCTCCTCAAAAAAAAACTAGGATAAATAAAACTGAGTAAAAAATTTGGCGTTATTGCTGAGCATCAAAAAGTCATGTCTATAACATTGCAAAAACAGGGTAGATCAGAGAGCAATTATAACTGTAAGAAAGAGGATAAAAATTTGAATCAAATGTTATCTAGATCGTCCTTGGATTGGTGTTCTGTGGGTTTAAGTGAGCGATGATAATAACCAACAAAACTTTCGGGACGGCCGTATTCAGGATTATATGTCTGCAAAAAAAGCTGTAAGCCTTGATTCTGTTCAGCCAAGGTCCTAATGGACTTGAAGATACGATGAATGGATGGCTTAAATCCGCTCAAGTCACTAGTGCTTATAAACAAGGCACCACCAACTACGAAGACAATAACGACAAAAGTTGGGAAATTTTTGCAAACGTAAGACAACTATTCCAATTACTAAAATCACCATTAGCTTCATATTTCAGCTAATGCAAGCTGGCATAACAAAAATCGGATGTGCAGTATGTAACGGCGGCACCGGCACGTACGATGTATATTGCATTACAGATCAAACGTGAGTGATCCTAGTTATACTGGGGGGGGGGGGGGGGAGGGGAGGGGCGATGATCCGGTAATCACATTGAGGGAGACGAACGGAATACGCATAGACCCTCGCATGGTGTTCCTTGAATTTTACCGGGTGAATGAGATTCAGTGACAGTTTTCTCATCAAATATATCCTAGTGCCTTGGAAAAACCTTATGTCAGGGTGTATGAAAAGAATGCCAGGGTCGTTTAACATAACCATCTTTGAAGTGCCCGCAATAAACGCAGGTTTATCAAACACCCAATTCGTAAGTTTGTAGCAGTGGCTTCTCCTTAGGTGATGAATGAGAGCGGAGATAAAATAGTATCTGACAGACAATGGCCGTGCGTAAGATTGGAGAAGGTGGGATTGTTGGTGCTAGCATTCCAGCCAAACAGTTATTGAGTTTTTTATGATTACGCAACGCACTTAGGAAAAAACAAATTTTTGACAAAACCCTCTACTACAACACTTACCGTGTGCTCAAGTGCAATAGTTCTACTCTAAAATTGACAGGAAAATATAGTGAACCTATTGGCTGCGCATTGGTGTCATTCATAAGCAGAATTCTTTCACTTTCTTAGGTAGCATTCGTTTCTCGGCAAGTTTCCGAATAAGTCGCGGAGTGAAAAAGAGACTATAAGAAGAGTCATGCATTTATTTTATGTCTGCGACTCATATAAGAATGCCTACCTTCCAGTCGAAGTCTTTGCCGTGAAGCCTACAGAATTTTGGTATTCTTCTAAGTGAAGCGCACTGATGTATGACTTAGAACTTATCCTTACAGTAAAAGCAAATATCAAGAACTTATAAGCAAACATCAAATAAGTTTTGCCTCAAAAGAAGAAGAAATCGAGAGCTTTTTGACGAAAATGCAAATTGATTCGAGATAATAGGTTGAAAACGACTTTTAGAACATCACATGCCACATGCTTATGACTCAGTTTTTTCGGAAAAAAATGCTCAGCTTTCGATGACTTGCTTCAAAGAGACTGAAAAAGACAACAGCGCAGTCAATTTTCCTTTTCATGGCTCTGATTTCGAATAACATCAGGTCCCGAAAGTAGTTTCGCTTTTTGACAAGAGCCAAATTTAGAATAGATTTACAAAAGGTCGTTGTAGTATTTGTTGCAGTTTTACATGACCTTTCAAATGGTTATCCTTACATTGTAGTTCAACAAACAATTTCAGAATACCTCTTTAGTTTTTATACAAGTTTCTCGTTTCGTTTTCTTTTTTTTTTTTGTAATAATTCTCCGAAGAAGTCCGCAATGGACAAATAGAGCAAACCTGTAGGATACAGAACAATTTTGTTTCTCATGACTCGCCAAAATTTTTTTGATGGAATCTTGAACAACACCATTAAATTTTAGCAGAAGAGTGGGAAAAAGTTGTACCGTCCCTTAAGGATTTGCTTATTTATGCGAGACTGATTCCGAGAATCAATAAAAAATTTATATAAATAACTGACGTGACCTACGTAGAAACCATGGATTGTGGTTTTCGGTATTTGAGAGCTTGTTTGTCTAATTGCAATGCAAAGATAGTCATTTGAAAAAGCATGAAAAACTGCATTGACCTCTAAAAACTTTTATTAACCTTTGTTCCACATATGAATTGTGGCTCTTATTTGAAAAGGCTAAATATTATTAGGACACTTATTATAAGACGCAATACGCTTGAGAAGTTCTAGAAACCTGCTTATTGCATCTTCATCTTCGCAGCGCAGGTGATTACTTGAACGCTAGTCCAAAATATAGTGCAAATGATCTGTTTTACTCGTAAAAAAGTGAGAAATTTCTTGAAATTGTTGCTGAATTTATAGCTTTTGTAAAACTTCCATTGAAATACTGGTGTGTCGCGTGTGCTGTTATGAATAGGTGTCAGGGGCCGAAAACGAGGCTGGTAGCGAACGAAACTACGCGGGCTTCTCACGGTTCCAATGTCATGCACGTTTTTTCTCCTTTTAGATTTGGAGCCAGAGATCGTGGTTACGCAGTAGTTCGTTCAACGACCTAATGTTTGAATATGATAGTAGCTAAGAAAGTTCTTCTTCAGACATGCCTTTAGGAGCGGGTCGTCATTCGAAAAGGGACGGAAGGCGGCATTCAGCTATATTCCAAACAGTTTTTTATATCGCCGAATCGATCAATCATACATGGGTATATGATAAAACCTAATTGCTTGTTTACATGTACGCTTCTTTCAAAGCGTCCGCGCATATTCGTCCTCCCTTTCCTGTTTCGTCCAGGCTCTTAATAACACGAATTTGGATGCGGAAATCAAAAAGCACGAACATTCGCAAATCCCGTTTTGCAGCCATTTAACAGCTAAGCAGATTTGTTTAAGTGCGCTCAGGAATCGCGCCGCGCGAACAACCATCCATCCAGTGCTAATCGGACGAATTATGAACAGCTCCTAAATTGTGGCGAGGGGCGGCGCAGCGTTATGGAGCAAAGCTACGCCGCATTTGCCTCTGGTATAACCTGAATTTAAATAGAATAATAGAATAGAATAGAATTAGAATTTGAAAAGGAAAAGTCTGCAAGCCTAGAGAAAGTAAGAGATGAGTAAGTTAATTTCTCTTGGAAACTCATGACGGAAAATTCCTATCCTTTTTCTCTACTGATTCTCGTGTTCTACTTCTCTCGAAAATTTTTAAATCAAATCAAGCGCATCATCTCAGATCCAGCCTTTGATTCATCCCTATAAATTTATTTTTTTGATTTTCTTAATCGTCTTCTTTGTTCTCCTTATTGCATCTATACGGTTTCAACATATTAGGTCGCGGTAGTAGGGGATGGCTCAATCCGCTAGCAGGAGCAGCGCTACTCCTGCGCAATTAAAAGCGACGCAACGCAAATGGCCCTCAGGATATACCGCAGGGGAACGCGGCGTAGCTTTGCTCCATAACGCCTGCCCCCCGTGGCGAGGCGTAGCTGCACCAGCTCCCCCAAGGAACCCAGAATAATTTAAAGTTATTTTTCAAGATGATTGATACGTATCCCCTCTGAGGTTGCTTAGCATGCTGATACCGAAAATGCGCAATCATTTGGCGGACATCGGCGTGCTGGAGTGCCACGGTAGGCATACGTATCAGGTGAAAGCGACGGACCTGCTTTGTTAAAATGAGCAAAAGAATTCTGATCAGACTTCAATAATTCGTCTTAATCAGTTTGCAGCTGATTTCAGCTGTTAGTTTCTTTTACTTGTCAAGTTCTGTTGTTTTGTCAAAGTTCCCTAGCTGTTTTTCTGACCAACGATATTATGCAAAATTTCGGAGCCCTCCTGGCCACCCTAAGTGCAGAAAACCGCACGTATACACGTACTTACAAGCGCATAAACAGAGTCACGGGGCAGAGAATCACCGGTGTTCCATCCCCACTGGAAGTGATGCGCAATATCATGTTGTCTTGAGCGCAGCCACGCGAAACTAGGCGCCATCGTCAATGAGTAAGTCACTGATTTCTGATAGAACTTGTATTCCTGCGCGGACACGAGTAATTCATGATGGGTACCCAAAGTACTGTGGTGAGTTATCAAGGAGAGTACGTACCAGTCGTTAGCGTGAAGCTTGCAGGGATCTAGTTGATGGTGGACAAATCTACGAAGCAGCCACAACAACCACAACCACTACCACTACGTCAACAACAACATCGACAACAACATCAACAACATCAACCACGACCACAACACCGACAACATCAACGACGACAACACCGGCAACAACCACAGCATCAACAACAACCACAGCACCGGCAACAACCACAGCATCAACAACAACCACAGCACCGGCAGCAACCACAACATCAAAAACAACCAGAAAACCGGCAACAACTACACCTGCACCCAGCTACCCTGGAACTTTACCGACAGGTACGCCAGACATTTCCGGGAATTCTTCGCAAGCAACTTTTTGTAAAGTGCATTTGCAGGTGCGAATACAAGGTGTCCTAAAAATGTTGGAATGAAGGACAATCTAAGGACCAAATTCTTGGACATGCACAACTACAGAAGGTAGAAAATATGAGAGTTTTCGAAGTTTTACCATAACTTCATGATTACGTGTTTGTTCAGAGGCATCCTTGCACAAGGTCAAGTTCATAAAAATACAGGCAATCTCTTACCAACAGGTGCCAACATTCTGAAAATGGTACAATCTCCTTTAGCCTCTGGAATCGTTGTAAAATTGTTCCATTTACCAGGAGTACGACTGTACCCTGGAAAAGAAGGCTATCGAAGAAGTACGAAATTGTCCCACTTCGAAAAAAGGATATGGCAAAAACTTTATAACAGTTTCCATAGATGGTCTCAGTTGGTTGGAGGGGGTCAATAAGGTAACATAGAGTTATCAAGTTTACACATTAACTTCACCGAAAATGACAGGTTGTTACGTCTTGGTGGAAGGTTGTTCGTCATTATCCGGGCCCAGGAATGGAAGTTACTTTCCGCCAAAATCATGTTAACCAACCAATAGAATCTTTCACACAGGTACCATTGTGTACTTTATCATGTCACAGACTATATCAAAAAATCTTGAGATTTGGATCTTATCATCGTCTCCCAAGATTATAGCAGATGGGACGTTGCAGACATTTCATAACGTATATGCGTGACAGCTTTTGATAATTGATACGAAAATTAGTGCATCATGAAGAGGTTTTTTAAGAATAACGTTTTTAAATGTCTGCAAAGCTCCGCCAGCTATACGTCATGGAGTCGCCTATGCCAATGCTTGTAGTTTATTTGAGAAGCTTCAGAGCGCACATTTTGAACTTTGTCGAACGCGTACCACTTTATCGAGAACGAGTATTTTAATCAAACTTTTTTTTGAAACAAATTTGTCCTTCTCTTCTGTTTATATAAGTCCTTTTGTGAAGCTTTCAGTCATTGTTGCTACAAGCCATGTAACTTCCACTAGCACCTCGGCTCTAATCGCATTGAGGCTAATTCTTTTGCCTGTTTGTTTGCAACTGGGGAAAGGTGTCGAACTAATCAAGTCAGAAAATGTTCCCTTTTCCCGAACCTTCTTTCTCATGATACAAACTTGAAACATTTTTGACACTATACAATGACATACCAGAAGTCAAGTGCGATCGGATAAAATTCATTACTTTAGACTTAGCTCAGCATTCTAACAGCTAAATTATGTCATATGCATGCAAGAAAACGTTCTACTATGAAAGTCGAAAATTGCGGTTGCCGAAAATGCGTACGCGACGTGCACGGCCGTCGCGATTGTCACGGTTCTCTAAAGGTCCTATGTGGATGGTATACACACCCTCTTTCACTTGCATTACATCTATTACGCGTGTGCACAACCTCACGCGCAGAAATGCGGCAAGCAAAAAAGGTCCAGAGATGCTTGAGGACAGTAGGCTGGTCACGACATTTATAACCGAATCCATAGCTTTTACAATTGTAGATGTGAAACCTGTTTGATTATGCTGTAAAAGCTTTCTTTTCAGATGGCTTGGGCAACGAGCAGAAAACTCGGATGTGCCATTGCGAAGTGCTCGAATCATTACACCGCCATATGCAATTATGACCCAAGGTAAACAAATGTACAATACATTTCTCAAAAAAGGGTACGCTTTCAGAGGAAACTATGTGGAGCAGCTGATCTACCAGAAAGGCACCCCGTGCAAGGCATGCCCTAGTGGATGGAAATGCGAGAGCACTTCTAAACTCTGCATGCCATAGTCCTAATCTAATGATAAATAAAATCTGCATACGAATGCGTCTTCCATAACATGCTTTAACTCGCCACACTGTCGAATAGGCAAAGATAATGACACAATTTTGCGATTTTTGCTGGGGCACACCTGCCCTTTCTGATGCTGAGGAGTCGAGTATGTGTAATCCCATCCCGATGTTTTCTTACTCTGTCAAATTTGAATACAGCTGCGTTAAAAGCAGCAAACCTTCTCCCAAAGTAGCGCTATTCACGCGTACTTAGATCACAAATGGACGAGAAATTATGGATTGGAAAACCAAAGTAGTTTTTTCCTGATCCTCCTTTTTGACAAACCATAAGCAGCAGTAACTCTTCTAGCATGAAGTACAATGCAAGTATTAAAGGACTTGAACGTGTCGGCTTCTTTCAGCCTTTTTGACAAATCATAAGCAGCAGTAACTCTTCTAGCAAGTAGTACAATGCAAATATTAAAGGACTTGAACGTGTCAGCTTCTTCCAGCCTTTTTTCATCAGGCCTCAAATTCCAAAATTGCGAAATTTTCCTATTCGGATATGATTTGATTTTCCGAATGGCCGCAGAAATTGACTGTTGAGGCGTCGGCGTCAAAATCTCAGAATACAGTTTTTGAAGATATGTAGTAGACATTGTAAATAAATTTCATCACAAGCAGTGGCTAGACTCCTGAACGAACGCAATCATTAGTGCTTGAATTCTGGCTAAAAAATTGAATGCTTTAAAAAGTTTTTCAACGGCTACTCAAAATTCCTGCCAATAAGGCTAGGACATGCTGGTAATCATTATTGAACAGAGCGTGAAAGCAGCTTCAAACCAGTGTGCAAAATCTGTCGTAAAGCAACAATCTGATGGATGAAGGACTTCTGGAAAAAAGGCTTAGAAAAACACGCATTAGTTTGACTCCAACCTGAGATGTTCCAAAAAGCTGCTCAATTTGAATTACCTTGTGTAAAACGCAACCATTACTTCGCACTTATTGCAGTCTCACAAACACCGCTTAGAAGCGCATTTCTTCATTCTTTCTAAATCTTGATAGATCCCCAGGCCTTGACTTCGGCAGACCCTTGCCAAAATGTAGTCATGATGGAGAAAAATGCTTTGTAAAGGAAGTCTCCCTGTGTACATGAAATCGCCTATGTGGAAATTTATGGCGGGCAAGGGTATGTTGGACACGCATGCACACTTTGATTCCCACATATCTTGCCTTACTTCTCGATTTTGCCGGGAGGAAAATCTCCTTAGCTATTTTATAAGCAACACAGGCTGTGCATCGACAGTTAATGTATTTGGTAACGTAATTAAGTAAAAACCAAGCAAGAATTACCTGCCAATCAGCTTTTTTTGTTCCCATAGGTAAAAAAACCCAGGTATGAGGAATTCAGGCACATTTGTGCGTGAAAGAAGGCACAAACAGTTTTTCTGCTTTGCTCACCAAATTTCTATACAGCAAGGATTGAATTTTCTAGGGCCATGACAATCTTTCGATTATTGGCTACTCAGTGATGGCGAACAAAAGTGTGTGGTTATCCTTAACACATTTGCGACAATACGACCCGCCGAGGGTCGTAAGATTCCTGAAGCTCTAGCTTTGCCAGCTTACGATAGTGGTTCGGGCTCGGGATACAGTATTACAATGTTACGGTACGTACGCCTTAGATAAGAATAAGACCCAGAGTTAGCTCAAATTTTTCGTGGAATGATGTTATTTCTGAATCATGTGTACATGCACGAGAAATACGGGGCGAGCAAGTGACTGTTTTAGCCCATCAAAATATTACGATAGTATTGATTTAATTGATTTTTGGCAGTGCTCATAGGAAGCTCAAATGATCTTACATTTATATGTTCTGTAGCATGCTGATCACGAAAATGGTAGTCTCAACTTTCAATAACACCATCATCAGTTTCTTGATTTTTACGAAGATAATACCGTAGTACTACCGCAGCCCCACTGTGAGACAGTAGTGAACAAAGTGGACATTATATCGTCATCAAAACATATTAGGTCGTTTCAAAAGTAATTTCGCTTTTTTCAAACGGGCACCACATTTGACGGAACAAAGTTTTCTGAGAGACCTTGGAGGCATTCGATGCAGAACTTCATTCTCTTTTCAAAGATTATGAAAGTGTTGCAAAACAGTCAATGAGCTTTCAAAAAATAACCAAAATCTGCGACCCATGCTTTTTGAGATGGTCAAGTTTTACACTTTTTTAAACTTTCATATCAATCTTCAGAAGGAGTTCAAGTAACGATTCGATAGAGTAAACCTTATAGAATACAGTTCTACTTTTTCTTCTCTCTCGTAGCTCGCCGTAATTTTTTAAAACATTTTTTAACAGAACCATCGGATTTTGGCAGGCCCACCTCAGCCACAGTCGCATCAAACATCACAATTTTTCGGAATCTGGGACTAGCAAAATGGTGTTATGAGTTAGCATCAATTTTACAAAGCAGAGGAGGGGGTTCGAATTATCAGATATCGAGTTTTTCGGGTACAGCCTGGGCTCGCTAAAAAAATGAGTTATGATGATTTCTCCCCGGAAACTAAGCGAATCGGAAACAAAAAATACCTCTTAGAAAGAGAAGAAAATGCTGCATCGAATAGTGCGCGAGCTGCTCTTCTTTTGATGTTCTACGAGGATTTAGCTGCCCAAGTATGGAAATCGGTAGCATCAGTAAAATTCTGTTAAAAATGTATGACAAGCTAAGGAAAGAAGAAAAAAGTAGTTTTGCATTCTGCAGGGTTTGCTCTATAAAGAAGTTACTTGCACTTGGAGGGTTGATATGAAAGTTTAAAAAAATTGTAAAACTTGACCATCTCAAAAAGCATTGGTCGCAGATTTTGGTGATTTTCTGAAAGCTCATTGACTGTTTTGCAACACTTTCATAACCTTTGAAAAGAGAATGAGATTTTGCATCGAATGCTTCTAAGATCTCTTAGAAACCTTTGTTCCGTCAAATGTGAAGCCCTTTTGAAAAAAGCGAAATTATTTTTGAAACGACCTAATATATTAGGTTGGCACATAAGTAATGCAACTTTTTATATAACTTTTGTCTATTTGAACGTAGCGCATTCATTTCTTGGCAATAAAAGGAACCTGATGTAAGCTTCTAATGCACACATTTTTGCCGAATTTTACCATCTTATGTGAGGATTACGGTAGGTTTACGGTACTATGGGAAAAATTTAATTAATTTATTAGTAATTTCAGAATGCATTAGATTTTGCTGAAAATTGACCTATAGGGCTTAATCCTTTGACATCTATTCCATCTATTTGACATGCTGATCACAAAAATGAGATCAGTTTCGCATGAAAAGGCCTCGTTCGTGAGATCAAAAGATGAATTTTATTTTAGCGACAAATGAATATGTATTGTTTACCGCATAGGATTACCCTATAGTGCAAAGTTATAGCGAATTCTGACTTTTCGCAGCTTAGTTATTGACAAATTGCCTTCAAAACTTGACGCATTTGACTTGTTCAACTTCTCAAAGGCGCCGCACCTTAATTTGTGTTTGAATTTCATTTCTTTTTTACTGAATCCAATGTGCCAACTTCCAGCTACATGCTGCCTATAATTGCTTTTTCATATGTTTGAATCAGGTTTCGTAGGGCTTCATGTTTGCCAAAAAATCGTGAAACCTCGATTTTCAGCAGTTTTCAAAAAAAATGCTTAGATTTTGTACTACGTTATCAAAAATCAAACGGTTTGCGCAGACTTGCAGCTTACGTTACGATCTACATGATGCCACAAAATGAGAATGCTACATAAAATAGGAAAAAAGCTACGGGAAAAGTTGCAAAACTTATGTGCCAACCTAATAACAACCCAAAACACAATTTTTCGTATAAATCATGATGGGGTTTGTACAGAATGACTACTGTAACTTTGTCATATAAGGCCAAAAATCAGTAAATCATATTTTGAAAACCGCGCTTTTGATAGCCCCTCTAGAGGAATTTCGGAGACATGTTTTGTTTTATTTTCGAAAAGACTACCATTTTGGGCAATACGACCCACGGGTGGGTCGTAATTTTGACAAAGAGAAGAAGTTCTGAGCCGAAACGGCTGTAATTGGAAAATCGGCCTTGCCGTTAATGTGATAAGTGAAAGCATTGCTATGTTGAAACGGTCTTGAGGAGAAATCTAAAATTTCTCGATGTCAAGATGTTTTCAAAACATTTACCAAAAAATCTGCAAATCGGACAAGTCTTTTGAAACCATTAGTTGCATTTCAAAGTTTTTCTAAAAAGGAAACCGCGATTTGGGAGCTCTTTAATAAGACTTTAGTCGATCACATTCACAGCAACAATAAAGAAATTTTGAAGACTCGAGTTTTATGAGATGTGTTATTATATGTTTTGCAATCACTCACTATGGTATAGAGCAACCAAATTGGGTTGAAATTCTAGAATGGCAGGTAATGGTAGACTGCTAGCGTTTGAACAAATGTGGGTGCGCGCGTGAATCTGTGAAAAGGCCCATCATGTCTTTGCAAACATTTAGCAAGAAGAAAGTAAAAGTCTTTGTGCATTTTTGTAAAAGTGTTCTTTACGCAGTTTCTTCTAAAGCAAAAATGTGCTCGAAACTCCTAAATATTAGGTCATTCCGAAAGTATTTTGCTTTTTTCAAACAGACGCCGCATGTGATGGACTAGAGATTTCTAAGTGATCTTGGTAGCAATAGATGCAGAATTTCATTCTCTTTCTAAGGGTTATTAAATTATTGGAGCACACTCAACGAGCTTTTGGAAAACTACGAATGTCTGCGATCCATGCTTTTTAAGATGCTCAAGTTTCACAATTTTTCTGAATTTTTACGCCAATCCTCCGAAGGAGTCCAAATGACTCGACAGAGCAAACCCTACAGAATACAAAACAGTTTTTTTCTTTTTCACGTAACTCCTCAGAATTTTTCAAAGGAATTCTGATTGATGCTACCAATTTTCATTCTTGGTCAACTCAAACATCGTAGAACATCAAACGGTAAGCAGCTCAAGCGTCATTCTATGCAGCTTTTTCTCCTCTTTCTAATGGATGTGTTGTTGTTTCCCCTTCGTGGAATTTTTGCGTATAAAATCTCATAATTCATATTTTCGAACGCGTTCCGGGCTGTACCCGGAAAAATCGAAATTAGATTTGGTGTTTGATGCGAATGTGGCTGACCTAGGCCTTTTAAAATTCGATGGTTTTAGTAATGAATATTTTGAGAAATTATGGCGAGATATAAAAACGAGAGAAAGTTACTCCATATCCTATAAGGTTTGCTCTATCGAATCGTTACTTGGACTCCTTCGAAGGATTCATGTAAAAATTTGTTGGAATTGAGAAACTTGAGCATCTTAAAAAGCACGGATCGCAGACTTTTGTAATTTTCCAAAAGCTCATTGATTATACTGCAATAGTTTCATAACCATTAGGAAGAGGATAAAATTCTGCATCGATTGCTGTCAAGATCACTTAGCAACCTTTGTTCCACCACGTGCCGTTTGAAAAAAGCGAAATTACTTTCGGAATGACCTAATATATCCTTCAATCAGGAAAGCAATTTGCTCATTGTGTAAACGGGTACGCCACAGCTCATAGCGTGCTAGTCTCGGGAAGAATGCTGTGGTTATTCACAAATATTCCCTTGTAGTCCGAGAGTCGCTTTATTTGATCCATACTCACAAGGAAATGGTCAGAAGTCGAAGTGGCCAATCCAAACAAAATGTATACCGTTCGATGCAGCATAGAATGCTGATTTAAAATCTGTCTTCCTTATGTGCAGAACGCCTTTGTAGGCGAAATTATGAGCAGTTTTACAGCGCAAAAATTGTGCGTAAAAATTGCGAAACTAAGCTTATTATTGCTCGTTTGCTCATCTTTAGGTATGGCCCATTTGAGGTAATCAACTGGATGTTTTGATTCAACACTGAGCCATTGCCGAGCATGGCTCTGTGCGGCCAAAATTGCCTTCTGCACGCACTTTCTTAGCAAAATGATGGTCTTCAATGGCTTATAACATCAGCCACAAAAGTGTTCTGCACATAAGGAAAACAGATTTCAAGTCAGCATTTTATGCTGCATCTAATGGTATGTAGCTTGCTTGATTGGCCACTTTGAATTCTGGCCATTCCCTTGTTAATTCTTTCTGAAACGTTAGATGAGATTTTTAAAAATTAGCCTAATTTAGAGGAGATGAAATTGACGGGTGGAGAATTTTATCCATTATCAAAAAGAGCATATAAGATTTTGGTTCGAATTTGTATCATGTAAGAAAGAGAAGGAAAATATGCATCGAATGCACGCTGAAACTCGTTCAGGTCTTTATTGTGCGTGGTTTTATGGTGGTTTGAAAAACCGACAAAACTTTCGGGCCTAGTATTATATAGGTATTGGCTGAACGAGAATAATATGTTTTAAGACCGTCAAAATGGAGCATCTAATCAGTTCGCTTTTTTGAGAGCAGCAGTTTGTCTCCAAGTCTCATTATTTTCCGTTCATCCTAACAAATATGTACTACAGGTCTCTAGAGATACATCTGTAAATCTTCAGTTTCCTACTACCGCTAGTTTTGGACAAAATAATGAATTCAATTCTTCTTGCTAGAGTTTTCACTTTGAAATCAATATGTCTCACATAGAGCTTGAAAGGAAATCTGCTGTTGTAAGTACTTCTAAAGGCTTACAATATGCATAACATTGCTTTTCCACAACTTGGAAATTTTGATTTCTTGCGTTTTCAGATCAGAAACAGGTACAGCACGGCATAACTGAATTTTGGAGTATGTATGCGTGTGCGGATGAAAAATCCTGCAAGTTTTCTTTGAACGAAAATATACTTTAATCTCGAAAGTACAAGACGCACTTGTTTTTTCAACTCGAAAAACCTGAACACAACGAAAAATTTTGTGAACAAATGAACCTCTCCCGTGCTGCTGCTTATCCAGATGATTTTGGCATAGTGACCATTTCGCAGGGCACAGCGGTGCGACTGAGATGCCTGCTCAAAAAATTGAAATGATGCGTCTTGTTAGGGTAAATCTTTTCCAAGTATGCAGGCATTGGAAACTTTCTAAGTTTCGGGTTTCAGCTTCTAGCTCAAAGCATACTGAAGGTGGTGCGAGAGCTGCATGTCATATTATAGAGCTCCCTTTGTTCTATCAAGCTTTCCCTGCATCTTGATCAGAACTTAAGATTAGTTCATAGTATAATGCGATAATCCATTTCATTTTTGAAGCTTATGTTATGATGGATATTGATGTCCTATCGATCGTCTGTGCCATGCTTTCGCTTTCTGGCCCTTTATTTTCGTTATCCTCATCTATAAAACAGATATAAAATCCACCAATTCACATCTGTCAAGATTACCGAAATATGTCAGCAAAACCTGTGTGACTGTTGCAACACCTCACCAGATCGCTCAGGAACATTTATGCTCCTTTCTTTTAAGAACTTTTTATGTTTTCTTTTGTTTGATTTTGATCTGGGTCATGTCTTCATCAATACGTCGATGCCAAGGTGGCAATCACAGCTCAGCGATCAGCGACTGGCTTTTCGACTTAAATCCAGTTAATTACAGTGCTAAGCAATTAGCAAATTGATCCACACCTTGATGTGAGATCGTATTAGGTTGTCCGGAAATTAATGCCCGTTTTAAATTCCAACCGCGCTAAGTCATATACTTCTCATCTCTAAATGGGTTGCAAAGTACCATTCGATAGAGCAAAGCAAGCTCTACAAGATGGCCATCTTGCTTTTGCAACAGCTTTGATCCATCTCGAGTTTCGAGCCAAAAACTAAAAAGACTCACCAGTCCAAAAAATCGAAAAAAATCGTAACTCAGTTCATAAAAATCCTACAAAAATTCTAATTTGCTCGCTTAAACACTATCCACATAAGACAATATACGCCAATACATCAATATACGCCGTTGCCGCATTTTTTTCTCTGTTAGAAACCAAGAAAACGGAAATTTTCGTGCATTTGCCAAAGTGATGCTGTGCCGTTCCCACATAGGTAGTTGTATACTACAAACCTGTAGAAGTGTAAACGTGAATTTCCAGCTCTCTACAAGCTTTAGTTCTCGAGAAATTTGAATTTTAGCTTGGACCACTTAAGTAAGGAAAGCTGTATTCGGTATTTCTTGAGAACTAAAGCTTGTAGAGAGCTGGAAATTTAAGTCTGTACTTCTACAGACTTGTGGTATACAACTACCTATGCGGGGACGGCACAGCATCACTTTGGCAAATGCACGAAAATTTCCGTTTTCTCGGTTTCTAACAGAGAAAAAAATACGGCAACGGCGTATATTGATGTCTTATGTAGATAGTGTTTACGCGAGCAAATTAGAATTTTTGTAGGATTTTTATGAACTGAGTTACGATTTTTTTCGATTTTTCGGACTGGTGAGTCTTTTTAGTTTTTGGCTCGAAACTCGAGATGGATCAAAGCTGTTGCAAAACCAAGATGGCCATCTTGTAGAGTTTGCTTTGCTCTATCGAATGGTACCTTGCTATCTATTTAGAAGTGAAGAGTGTATGACTTATTGCGGTTGAAATTCAAAACGGGCATTAATTTCCGGACAACCTAATAGATAATCTGTCCGTCAAAAGTAGAGTTGAGTAAGAGATCGACTTCTTTGCAAGAGGACCAGCCATCTGCAAAAATTCGAAAGATTTTGTGAAACAAATATCATTTTTGACAATTGGATGATATCTTGGGAATGACAAATCCTAAGAACATGTAATGACGTAACAATCTTACATTATCAGCTGTAGCCATGTTCACTTGTCGTAAGTGCGGGCTAGCAAATCAGGGTGTACCTCGAATGGATGTCTGTTAGAAAATCGATGCTGACTAAAACCAGCTCGAGTCTAAGCAGCTCACTCGTTTACTCTCCCCAATTCTACAAGCTGGTGGAGTTTCAGTTGCGAACATATACTTGCGTTTAAACGACTGTTCGGGCTTTTAGGCTGAAAATGAGCTTACTAAAAGAATTTTCGCTCATGAAAAAAAAGCAACCTCATCGAGTGGAAGGATGACATCAAATGAGCGAAAAGAAAACTTTGAAAGTATTTGGATTTCATGCGAGGATCCGATTGTCAATGTAACAAACGCGCATTGCGACTTCTTCATCAATCAGAAGAGAATAGATTGATGAAAAAACACTGTACTTCCAATATTTATGAAAGTCCTGGTAAAAACAGAACCAGAAAAAGTCTACTGTACACATCAGATTCATTTTGACCACGAATAGGCAATAATCAGTGGTATCATCAAGGCAGCAGAGGCAATAAATAGTACGATAAATAATGGTAAGAAGTAGTGCGATAACACAGGCACTGGCAATAAAGTAAGATCGAAACAAAAAGGAAGTCATGAATCAAAAGGAATAATATCGAGGAAAGCTCATTTGCATTTTCTCTGAATCGTTTTATTTATAACAAAGCACGCCATAGAACGAAAATAGATTTCGTTGCGTGCAAGCGATATTTCTGAGTTATATTCATCGATAAACCTGAACATACGATAAAGTAAAAATCAAAAGAAAAACCATTTCTAAACCTCCTCATATGGGACGCTATTCGTTCACGCCTTTGGCGGTCGCGATTTCTCAGATGTTTCGTTTGTGATGGGTACTGCGAAAACCTCGCTTCTTTTATTTCACCAGATTTTCTGCAATCAAACGTACCTGCTCGAGTGTAGTAAGTGCCGAGTTAGCTTCTTCATTCTTCATTCTTCTCGAAACTTCGATTACCTTTCCTAGCTGGAAATGTTCACAGGCTATCAACGTATTTAACTGGCTGTAAGCAGTTCGGTAGGCGCTTCAAGGGCCTTCACCACCGGTGGAGGCGGCGTGGCAGGAACACCAAATCTTTGGTGGTGTTCCCCACTCTGTCACCTCCACGGCATTTAGAGGGCCCTCCAAAAAGGCATTATGCCTAGCTCGTCGCCCGGTCGATTCCACGCCTGCGCGAGATGGAGCGCGCAACCCTGGGCTGTAGATTTAGGGAATACCTAAATTACGCATATGACTCCTGAAGATATCCATTTGTGAGATATTACCCTGCCAGCTGCAGCAATTGCCGCTCTTCCGAAGGCGAAGACAATTCTGAGTGATATAAGCGGTAGGGACGATTGTACTTGTCACACGCTGGCCGTTGAGCGGAGAAGGGAAATCGGGCACGTAGTTCGAGAATGGAAGGGAAGGAAAGCGAACATTACGAGGCTCACTATGCAGGAAGCGAATATCCGATATGGATCCTTCTTCAGCACTCGGGTGGTAAGGAAGAACGGGTGTAATTGACACAGGATACGTAGACACGTATTCTGTGTCAATTACATGCTTCCTTATGCGTAGTACCTATGCACCAAAATTGCGAGACATTACCTGCGGACCTCCAATCGGTAGGGCCAATTTGAATGCCGCCCTGGCCAGGCTTTGGGCAAAATCCATTAATAATTCTTACTAAAGAATTATCAATGGGTTTTGTCGACTCCGCACATGGTGTGCAGACTCGCATGTTGAGTAACAAATACTATTACAGAATTGGATATTTTCCATTCAGCACGGCACTTATCACGTTTGCCCAAAACTCCAAGCTCCGAGCTCAAGCTCTGCTGATAATTAATAAATCGATAATGATCGATAGAATAGCCTGTGATACCAGCCCTCCTCGATGTGATGCGGCATTGTATCTTATATATTAGGTTGTGTAAAAAGTTCTGTCCTATTTTCTCTTTCGATTTTTTATCAATGATAATCAACCTATTTGGAACAAAGAATATTCTGAAAGGTCTAGGTCTGTTCTGCAAATTAGTAAGTTTTATCTCCAACTTAGCAGGATATTGAAAACGATTACTGGCATTAGAGGAAAAATCCGAAGAGGCAAAAAGTCCATTTTCGACACCTTTTTCCTCTCCGAATTTCGCCGGTTTCTACTGCTAATTTTTTTCAACAAGCTTGACAGCAAACAGAACAACCTATTAGGCTCTTATGGATGTAATGGGATTGTTTGTGCTTGATTCCTTCGTTGTGCCGACTTTTTAATGCCCTTCTTTCAAAAGTCGGCAAAGCAAAAATTTGCTGCTGCGATGTTCATCGCCTTGTCTATCCAAGCTATGTGTTCCCCAAACCTTGAGTTTTTGAGTAAATAACTTGTAAATCCGTTTTATAGTCAAAAACGGTCCCTACTAATTTTTCTGGATTATCCGTCTACTTTATTTAGGACTGTCTTCAAATGCTCAACGTCAACACTGAAAAGACGTTTGCAAGAAGACTTTTTTATGAGTTTGAAGAAAAATTTTTTGAAACCTTTCTGCACTTTTGACGCTCAGCAGAAGTTATATCATATTCCTTACGCGTAGCAGATTTTCCGAACTGTTTCGTAAGCATTCTGATCTAATTGGGGGTGACTCAAACCAGTTGTCGAAAATGAATTTTTTTTTCTCTTTGATTTTCTAAACTTGATGCTGGAAAACTTCTCAAATTACGCTGATGTAGGGAACTGAAGTGGAGATTTTGGTAGGCAGACTTAGAGCTTTAAATGCATGTAAACATATTGCAAAACACCGTGTAAAATATTGTGAAAAAATCAAAGGAAATGGGACAGAACTTATTGCACAACCCTAACATAAAAATATATATATATATATATACTAGTGACGTACCCAGGATTTCCGTTCGGGATGGGGGACAAAAAAATTTTTGATGGAGGTGCGTGAAACGGAAACACGGCATATAATCAGGTGAAATAAAGGCAGGCAAATGCTCTAAGGAGTATCAGACGCAGTAATTTGTCCTTTTTCCACCAGTTATGTTTTGAGACCATTTGCTTCGGTGATTTTTGAGATGATTGCCGAATTTTCAAACCTATGGTTTTTACCATGCCCATCTTTGGCAATTTTTCAAAATCTTCATTGTGAACTTCTGAAAAAGCTTTGATAGCTGTTAGATAGCGTGAACAAAGTGCAATGCAGCGGAATTTTTTGGCACCTAAAGCTGACTTCCCAAAATTCTCAAAAATACATTTCTGATACAATCAAATTCCACTTTTGGTCATCCCAAGATTCACAGAACATCAAACGGCACACAACTAAGGTGTCATTCGATGCAGCTTTTTCTTCCCTTTCTGGGAGGTTTTTTCTCTTTTCAATTCATGGAGTCTTCGGCAATGAAATTATCATAATTCGTGATTTTGAACCCGAAACAGGCTGTATCCGCAAAATGTCAAATTTGATAATACGAAGCGGCAAACGCTCTATTGCTTTGTGAAGATGGTGTGTGTGACCTTTGAGTATCAAATTCCGACGGTTTGTTAGTGTTTGGAGCCTTTGTTATATTGCGACTTCGCAAAATCAAAGACTTTCGGAAAAATTGACCTAAAAATAATAAGAAGCTAATTGAAGATGCGATAAAATTGCATTGCATTGCACTTTGTTCATGCTATCTAACAGCTGTCAAAGCATTTTGAACAATTGCCAAAGTTGGGCACGGTAAAAACCATGGGTTCGGAATTTCGGAAATTTCTCAGAAACCACCAAGGCGAATGGTCCCAAAACATGATTGATGCAAAGAGGAAAAAAACTGCGTCTAGTGTTTCTTAGAACATTTGCCGGCCTTTATTCCACCTGATTTTATGGCAGGTTGAAAAAACGGAAAGAACTTTTGAACCAATCTAATATATAAGATGAAGGACTCACCACTGGTCGACGATTCCGCAAAATTCTCTGACATCTCTTTCTTGGCTTCATCCTAAATTGTCGTATTAACACAGTAGTGAAGCAACATCAATAAAAAATCAAAGCGAACAATGGCGTCATCTTGCCATATCTTTCGAGCTTTCTCAAACGCACGTTGCCTCTTATCTAGCACGCGAATGGCAGGGAGGTAAGGTTACTTGACGTGTGCATGTCAAAACGTGGTGTAGATTGTATTAAACATACATATACCACTTCTGGCACGCTTCACATGTTTGACGCGATTTACATATCAAAATCAAGTTTTGGCACTCAACTGGTCTCCCAGTGAACTCTAGAATCAAAAAAGACTTAAGGGCCGGTCATACCGGTCAGCGATCCATCGCCGCGATGGATGATCGTCGCGACTGGGTAGAAACTAGCGACGAAAACGCGCGACGGATCGCTGATCGCTCGAATAAGGGGGCATACCTCCAAAACGATTTGTGCATTCTCACACTCCATCACATGGTACACGTTCACTTCACAATCCTGAACTTGCTCATAGCAAAGGATGCACAGATGTCTAGCTTAGTCTTTGTCGAAGCGGTGGGATGTCGTCGTCAGCGATTATAGTGCCACGTTCGTACGATTCCACTCATGGGAGCTCCGACGCTTGTTCTCTCCATAAATCGCTAGATGGCTTCTGTGCAGAAGAACTGCGTGATTCAGTTCACAGAAAGAACTGGGACTTTTTGTGTTGCTGGTTGTTCTAGAGCTTGTGCTTAGTTTGTGCATATGTTTTTCGAAAAGTTCTGCGAAATATAGCAATTTGCTTTGTGGGTACAAATCTTACAAATTTCATAGCTAGAAGAAATACTACGGATTTACATCCAATCATATGCAAACAATACTATGCTAAGTCGTGCTGTTAGATTCCTATTGCAGTTCTTTTCGTCTGAATATATAAATTCCGCGCGCAAAGACAGTGTCAGCTTTCTTTGACTTCATAGCGGTTGCAAAATGACTGCACAGTACGAGAAAATGACTGCACAGTACGAGAAGTAACCTTGTTCTTGGAAGCCTTGTCTGGAACATCTCTTTATCAACAGCGTCAAACATCTTAAAGTAAAGCTCTCTTTTATCTCAGAAGGATAAGCGTCAAGCTTCCTTTGTTTCCCAGTGTCTTGTGAAAGAGACTCTGTACACTTAGATTTGCAAATATAAATCAGCAGATCTGTATCGATCCAACTCCTCGCTCCCATAAAAGTGTTGTTGTCTTTGATCGAAATCCACCTTGTCGTAGCTTAGATAGAAACACTTTCCAGGGAGCGTTTTGCAAAAATAATATAGGCGACCCGAGGGTGGGGGCTTCGAAAATGTCTCTACTTTTTCTTGGGGGGGGGGGGGAGGGCTAATGCCTCGGCAGAGTTCACGCGATTTGATCGTCGCGACTCAATCGCTACAGACAAGTGTTACGAGTTCCATGCATGCCGATCTTGTTGCATTTCGGTTGTGATAGTTAGTCACGATTAGTCGTGTTAGAAAATTACCACAATCGAAATACAAGAAGATCGGCATGCATGATAGTGTTACAGTTGTCTTGTGCCATCAATCGCGACGATCAAATCGCGTGAACTCTGCCCGAGGCCTAAGGCTCATCAATATTTCGGTTGCAAGAAACTTCCCTTACTCACTCTGGGGGAGGAAGGGTGCTAAAGTTTCAGCAATAGACTACAGGAAGGTCAGGCCATGTTTATCACCGAATGAAGTTTGAGCTACTGTAAAATCTGGAAAAAATTGTCGCGATCTACTTGTGTTGGCCCTCTGGAGCACAGTGAAACACATACTCCGCACGATGGTATCTTCAAAAACACCGTTGAAAATATTTTATGCACCGGCTGCATGAAGCCACTCAATTGGCCGAGACATAAATTACTGTAGGAAACAACGTTCAGCAAATTTAAACAAGAAAGTACATCCATTATTGCACTAGGACAACCCGTACATACAAAAGCGTTACAGTGACACGCATATCAAAGTCATGATTTGAGATCG